CTTCTCCTGGGACAAGACCAGAGTAGTACTGAGTTAGGGGAAGGGGTGTGAAAGCTGGAGCGAGGGGGTGCCTAGTTCCTGGCTGTCCCCGAGGTCTAGCCTCCAAGCTGGCAGAGCACTGTTCCCCAAAGAAGGAGTTTTCCACCTGAGCCTGCTGCTGCTGCTGGGCATAGCGGGTGTTTAACAGCGTCTCTGGCCTCCTATAACAACCAATACCAGGCAGGTAAATCCTTCCTCACTGAGCAGCACTGTTTGAAGCTGGGCCTCTGCCTCCTGTTAGAGCTTTCCCTGCTGGGGTGAGCACCCTGGTGCTCTGCAGTGGAACGCAGCATCCTCAGAGCCATTGGGATGACATGGTGTGCCACATGTGGCCTGTAGAAACAACCAGGGACAGGGAGTGATTTTTAACCTGCACAGCCGTATGTGGCTAATGACTGCTGGCATCTGGACCCTGGGCTCTGGTTCCCATGGCAGGTGGAGAGTGGCTAAGGTTAAACCCCATGGCCTTGGGCTTGACTCTTGACTCCAGGAGCAGAGGCCTGGCCATGGCAATAACCATGGCTTCTTATTCCTCTCTCTGCCCTTTGACCCCCCAGCATTCCTCACCCCCCCCCCAGCACACACATTCCAGCCCATCAGTGGGCAACAAGGCTTTGTGACCTCAGTGATGTCATTCAACCTGTCCGAACCACAGCCTCAGAGGGGGCTGTGAAGGGGTATCTGGAGTCCACACATTCTCAGTAATTGCTGAAGGCTTGCAAGCGAGGTGTTACCACTGTCCTAGATCTGCGTATTTAATCTCTGGCTGTAACAAACTTGTAACAACGTGACAATTGTCTGAGAGATGGAAGAAAGCATGGGAGGGAGGGGTGACTGCCATCGGCCATCCATCCGTAGGGAGTTAACCAGTACCTGCTATCCACTAAGGAACCACTCTCCCCCTGAGCTACATCCCCAGCACCCCTCCCCCACCCCGCCTTTTTTTTTTTTAAATGTTGAGATATGTTTTAGTTATGGAGCCCAGGCTGGCCTCAAAGTCACCATCTTCCTGTTTATGATTCCCCAATTATAATGGGCTCATACCCCACCCCCTATCTCAGGCGCTAGTTCCTGACCCATTTGGAGAAGGGGCAGAGGGTTTGGTACATTCACCGCCAATGGGGCTCGTCCTGTCTCTTGCAGGTCAACATGGTAGTCCTCAGCAAGTACCTGGGCATCCCCAAGCCCTTCGGGCCCCTCATCAATGGCCGCTGCTGCCTGGAGGAGAAGGTCCGCTCCCTGCTGGAGCCGCTGGGCTTACGCTGTGTCTTCATCGACGACTTCCTGTCTTACCACCAGCTGCTGGGGGAGATTCACTGTGGCACTAACGTGCGGAGGAAACCTTTCACCTTTCGGTGGTGGAACTCAGTGCCCTGAGCCTGCCCGGCCACCACCCTTGCTGCCCTTTTAATGGGAGTGCCAGGGCAAGGGTGAAGGACATGGACCAGCCTCCATCCTGCTGGGGCCTGAAAGCAGGCCGGCTACTTTGGTCAGCTGGACTCCAGGGGGACACCGCCCTTCTTCGTCTCTGGAGCAGTCTGTCTTGCCCACGGAGACTATTGTAACTCTTCCCTCTCCCGTTCCCAGCCACAGCTTCCAGAGGGTCAAGGTTGGCAGCTGAGCCTGTTAAAGGCATGGCCTCCACAGGCACACCCCATTTTGAGTTGCTTCCTTGTCTTTAGACATTTCTCTGGAGCCGGAGAAAAAATGGCTTTGGGGCTGTTTCAGAAATGCCCACCATGCCTGGACCCTGGGGCGAGAAAGCACCATGGTTCCATATGACTCCTGGGTTGTGTAAGATGAAAAGGAATATTTGGGGCATCCTTTTTCCTAAGGGGACCTCAGGCCATGGCCTGCAAGCACCCTTCGGCTCTATGTAGGCAAGCAAAGACAGGCAATCCGGGTGGCCGGGGGCCTCTTTCAAATAGGAAAGCGAGCAGGCACGAAAGCCCCTTTAATACGCTGCTCTATCCACTCTTCCTCCTCAGGATGCTTGTTAGTTGTTGGGACAGCCTTTAATTATGAGACCTGGTGCTTCCGGTTCGAAGATGCTGGGGGGCATAGGGAAGCCTTCAGAAGTCTGCAAGCGGGGGTGGGGGGTAGGGAAGGGCAGCAGGAAGGTCCAAACAGGAAGTCAGATAGGTTGCCCATCTTGGAGCAGGGAACCTGGAAGCCTAGGACTCCTGGCTAGGCGTGTGGGGCCCCTGAATCTGAAGGCTGCTGGCTGTTCCAGATACGAAGTGGGTGGGGCCCAAGGCGTTAGGAGAGGGTGAGGCGGGCCATTAAGTTACATCTGGAGGTGGGGCTTAATTTCCTCTAATAGTCTCTAATTACTCCCCAACCTGCTGCGGGCAGTGGGAGGGGGGAGCCCACACTTCCCCCGCAGCCTGGGACCCTGCTTAACACTTGCACTGCCCTAGTAAACCCCATGGCATGCCTGTGTCCCCCTCCCACGGGAGGACAGACAGATGCCCTACAGGCTAATGGTACTGGGTGAGGTCAGAGAGGCATGTGCAGGCAAGCAGGCAGGCAGACCCGGCTGCAGGGCATGGCTGGTAGAGGGAGCTGCCTGCTCCTTCCTCCTCTGGTCAGGGAGCCACGCCGAGCTGCCAGCCCCTGGCTTCTGTCTTTGCATTTTTCAGTAGTTTCTGGTATGATCCCAGACTTGAGGTAGCTGCTGTCACCTTGGAACCATAGGACATTCAGGTAGCAAAGGCTTCCATGGACCTGTTAGGATGGACACGGCCAGGGAGGGATTGGCTCCTCCCCTCTAGAAGGTTCTATGGAATTGGAACCCCATTTGTATGCTCCCGACGCCAACACCCTCCTCTATGATCATGACCCAGCTGAGGCTGAGCCATGGAGAAGGAGAAGAAAATGGAAGAGGAAGAGAAAGGTTGGGGGCAGGGCCTGGCCTCTGAAGAGGAGACCACAGAGCCCTGGTGAGCATGGGAGGGAGTCTTCAGAACCTCATGAGGGGTCCTCTGGAGTCGACGCCCAGGCTGTCTGAGGTTCTGGGTGCCTGGCCACCCTCTTGCTGATCAATAAAAACATCATCGTGCATTCTTTAAGTGGCTGCTTCCTTTGTCCCTTGGCTGATGGAGAGGAAAGTGAGCACACACACACACACACACACACACACACACACCCGCCGCTTCTCTGTTCTACACACCCTGCCACAAGTCCGTGGGCTCAGCCTCAGCAGGCCACAGGGGGCCCCTGTCAGCTGAACAGCTTCCTGGGCTAAGGCAGGTAAGTGCCAGGCAGCAGCTGATTCAACAGAATGCTTGGCACATGCCATTTCCACCCTGCTATCTGCCTGAGATACTATCTGAGAGAAGAGACCTGCCTCTTCCTCTCTCCCCATTCCTTGGCTTTATCTTCTTCTGTCAGGGAGGATGAAAAGAGGCGGAGAGGCCCTGGGTTCTGCTAGCAGAGGCGGAAGGTACTCCAGATGATGCTCCCCTGGGCCCAGGACACAGGCCAAGGCGATTCTGTAGCCCCAGTTCTCAATGCTGAGGTGCCAGCCTTGGTGGTCTGGTCTCAGGAGCCCGGAACTATCCCTCCCTTCTCATCTTGCACGCTTGCCATGACCTCAGACTGTACCCTTTGACACAGAGTTAGCTTCTTTTTTATGGACTAGGAAGCTGTCCACCAGTCACTGACATCTAAAAGCCTGAATCAACCCTGGGGCTGTTTCTGAAAGTTGGTACTGGGCTCAGTGGGTAAAGGTACTTGGTGCCAGTCCTGATGACCTGAGTTCAATTCCCAGGACCCACATGGTGGAAGGAAAGATCAGACACCCACAAATCCATATATGCACCACAGCACACATATATCCATACACACAAAATAAATGAATACATGTACTATAATAAAATGCAGTTTAAAAACTGGTACCAGCTGGGTAGATTTGACAGCAGGGATCTACTTCCCAAGGGAGATACAGACTCCGGGCGTGAGACTCATCACATCCCTAGCACGGTGTGTCAGCATCCTTGGAGGGGAGTCCCCCCCCCTTTCTTTCTTTCTTTCTTTTTTTTTTTCTTTTTTTTTTTGTTTTTTTTTTTCTTTCTTTCTTTCTTTCTGTCTGTCTTTCTCTCTGTCTCTTTGCGCCTTTCCTGGAACTCACTTGGTAGCCCAGGCTGCCTCGACCTCACAGAGATCCGCCTGGCTCTGCCTCCCAAGTGCTGGGATTAAAGGCGTGCGCCATCACTGCCCGGCTCCCGCCCTCCCCCCCCCCTTTCTACCCATTCCCCACAGTTATGGAGGCTGCCTGGGACTTTCTCCAGAACTCTGGTGAAGCTGTCCTTGGGTCCTCACTACTTCAGGGAATGCTCTTCCCAGACACTGCACTACCGCAGAGGGACAGTCATAGGCTCCAAATGTCATCCTCTGACTGGTGCAAATGGGGGACTCTGGGAAATGGATGCTGGCCCCTGCCCTGCCCTGGAGGGAAGCAGCCACAGGGAAGAGGGAAGGACCTCTACTCAGCACTTCCGAGCCTCCACAGCCATTATCTCTGCCAGCGCAGGTGACTGGCCACATTTTCTACACATGAGGAAATGGAGGCCCCAGAAGATGAGATGCAGCCTCATCAGTACATGGCACAGCCTGATCCGAACGAATCCAAGACTCCTCTTCCCAGAGTCCTTGTTTTTGATATTCCACACACCTCTCAGCCTCAGTTTCCCTACCTACAAGTTGGCCTCCTAACCTGACACTTTTGGATCCTAATGACTAGGGATGACCGAATTCACTTCTGCATCATTTACCCCCTTGAGAGATTTTGACCTCCAACAGCAGCCAGGAGGATGAGCGCAGGTCCATGTTAGACCTGCCCACCACTGATTCCTTCAGCCCTCACAGGTCGGGGTGCTGGGAGGGGGGAGGGGGGATACAAGCGGGTGGGGGGGCAGGGGGGCATGGCAGCTCTGCCAGGAAGCCCTGAGGCAGGGAGGAAGCCCAGTCCTGTCCTACAACTCAAGCTTTTAATTAAGAAAGGCAGGGAACCAACAAGATGGCCCAGTGGTGAAGGTACTTATCACTAAGCCTGACGACCCGAGTTCTGCTCTGGAATGCCCACAGCAGAAGGAGAGAGCCAGCTCCTCTGGCCTCCACACATGTACCATGACACACATGTGCACTGTCTCCTCCAAAATACATCAGTGTAAAACATCATATATATACATATAGTTGTAATATATGTAAAGAAAGAAAAAAACAGGCCAGTGGGAGCTGGAGATACGGCTCAATTGGTAGAGTGCCTGCCTAGCATGCGCCAATCTCTCCTTGTGATCCTTAGTACCAGATAAAACTGAGTAGGGCATGCACCACTGTAATCCCAGCACTTGAGAGGCAGAAGGATCAGAAGTTCGAGACCATCCTCAGCCTCATAGTGCCTTTGAGGTATTAGAGACCTTGTCTCAAAAAAAAAAAAAAAAAAAAAAAAACCTGGGTGATGGTGGCGCACGACTTTAATCCCAGCATTTGAAAGGCAGAGGCAGGTGGATCTCTGTGAGTTTGAAGTCAGCCTGGTCTACAGAGAGAGTTCCAGGACAGCCAAGGCTGTTACACAGAGAAACCCTGTCTTAATAATAATAATAATAATAATAATAATAATAATAGTAGTAGTAGTAGTAGTAGTAATTAATTAATTAATTAATTTTCAAAAAAGTAAAGCCAAAGAAAGGTGGGGAGGTGGGTGGGGAGAAGAGGAGAAGGAGGAAAGGGAGGCGGAAAAGGAGACAAGGCCAGTATTTCTCACAGGCTTGCATGAAGAATCCGGTTGCCTGCACCAGATTGGATCAGGCCTGGGAACCTGCATTCTCAGCAGTCCCTTCCAAGTAGTGCAGAGAGGAACCCCAAGAGGACAGTGAAGGGCCAGGGCAAAGCCCGACCTGCCCTTCCCCCTGCCCCCATTGACCCAGATGTGTTGGCCAACTGCCCGTGGGGACTTGCGTTCTTTCCAGCTAGAAATTAACTCTGGGTGCCCTGGGGTGGGAGGCACAGGTTCATATGCAAATGCCAGAGCCTTTCCAGCCAATCCTGAAGAGGGGGCTAGCCCGTTGGCCTCTAAGAAGAGACCGGGCATCTAGGGCTGGAGCCAATGAGCTTGCACCCTGGGCTAGAGGGGTGGGGCTGGGTACTTTTAAACCACATCCCGGGGGACTTCTGGCTAGTGCTGGGTTTGGTGGCCAAAGCCCCCATCCTAGGCCAGTATGTCTCTGCAGAGGATTGTGCGTGTGTCCCTGGAACACCCTACCAGCGCTGTGTGTGTGGCAGGTGTTGAGACCATCGTGGACATTTATGGGTAAGAGCTGGCCCTGGAGGGTCTGGGTTCTTCATGCCGGGTCCCTGGGAGCTGTGTGTGTGGGTGTTCCTCGGGGCACAGGCTGGGCCTGGCTGCCTAGTCCCTAGCCTTAACCTTAAAACACGGGGAAGCTTGGGTCCCTGCTGATGCCAGCTAGGTTCCAAGCAGGGTTTTTGAACCAGGGAGGTGAGACATGCAGAGCTGAGCTTGGGGGGGGGGGAGGGCATGGGCTCATGTCTCTCTTCAGGGATGCTCAGGAGAGGCTGGGCAGTCTGTCTATGGCCCACAAGGCAAGGAAGGGATGTGTCCCCTCGTCCTACAGCCCCTGGGAGAATTAAGTCATTTCTTAAACGGCCACATCTGCTCAAGATGCCACGCTCTGTCCCCAGAGCTGGTCAGACTTCTCAAATGCCACCCTGACGAGAGCCCTGAGGTTTAACGCCATCTCACGCGATGTTGGCCACAGTGTGCAATTGCAGGCACAGAGATGGCGAGCCACTAGCCCAGGTCACACAGTCCCCGGGAGGCAAAGCTGGGCTTTAACCCCACTGTGGACTCACTGAGGACGTCACGTCCAGCCGCTCAGCTGCTGGATCACCGGGGCTTCAGATCTACCACCACCAGCTCTTTGCCACCCACGCACTGTACCTGCTGCTTGCCAGGCTGAGTGCCAGGCTGAGCCTCTATGCTCCAGGGTGGTTTGGGTAGGGAGTGTAGGAGCAAGTCTGGTTTCTTAGGCTTTTGAGTCCCATCTCCGAGGCTGAACTGGGGACAGATTCCAAGGATGCTGGGGTCAGAGTGCCACCTCTCAGACTTCCCTACCCCCTTCTTGGACTTGGCTTCAGCACCGGGAACACCAGAAGTCCTGGTGGGACAATGCCACACTGTAACACCGTGAGGGTCATCCTTGGCCTCCACTTACCAGGGGCCAATGATGCTCCCACCCTTCCTGGGTTAGCAAAAATGTTTCTAGATATTGTCAGATATACCAGAGTTTCACACCCTTTGAGAACAAGTGTCTAGAACTAAGAATTTTAAAAGTGTGTGTGTGGGGGGGGGTGAACTCAGTTGGAAGCAAAGAGGTCCCAGGTGTGGAAGAGAGGGAGGGAGTTGCCTCTCACAGGAAATAACCAAGTCTGGATACACTGCATCCCAGGAGCTAAAGCCTGGCTGAGGGTAGGTGGGCTGTGAGATGTGCAGAGGGCAGTCTGTGGCCTTCAACAAATCAGGCAGGACAGGAGGGGGGTGGATGCTCCCTGGCGCCACAGCCTGCTCCAGGGCTGCGTGCCCATGGGGGTGACTCACTGCCCGGCTGCCTTGTGCCCGATGGGTAGATATGTCTCCGGTTTGACCCGTCCAGGGAGCTGGGGATGGCTTCTTCTCCTCCCCTCAGAGGTACCTTCTAAGATGGGGGATGGGCTGGGTGAGAGGCAGGCAGCTGGTTGGGGGTGACTTGAGTGATACAGAGCAATGGTGGGGATCCACCTAGAAGACTGGGGGTGGGACAGCCATGGGTGGTGGCAGGGCTTTGGTGTCTTCCAAGATGTCCACTCACCCTGATAGCCAGTCACCCTGGGAAATGGAGTCACGCACTCATCATGGTCTTTGAGCATTAGCGTATGCCTGGCCCCAGGAGCTCTAAGAAGTGGAAGGCCCTGGTCCTACCTGGGTTGAGGAGTTCTAGCATGGGCCAGGCTGCTGTCCAGTGAGGGCTGTGGATGTATCCTGGAAGGGGAGAGC